CCATCACTGCTAATGGCATATATAGCTTCCGTTTGAATGATTTCTATTTGATGAAAAACCTATCGTTGGAATTGTCCAAAATCAACGTATTTCCATTGGAATCCATTGAAAAATAATAATAGAATATTAACATTAAGATATCCATTGAAATTGCTATTGAAATTTCATTGGAATATATTTTTGTCGCAAATTTTGGTTTGAATTTCACTATTTTGAGTTATATTAAAATCTATAAAGTATAGACAACACCTTTTAACTTTCATTTTTTTCGTACTAGTGTATTATCATCATTGGCAAATTACAAACTCTTGTATGAGGTGACCTAATTATTATGTCAATCGTCCGGGTAGAAATAAACTGAACATAATATTCTTTTTAAATATAAAGCAAAAAACCTTTATATTACCATTTGATCATTAATTTTACGAAATATAACTGAATTAAAATGAAATATAGAAAGATTATTGACAAGGAAAAAAAAAAAAAAAAAATCTTTTACATATTTATTACAGTGTTTTGACAATTTTTGCAAAAATATGATCGTTCCAAATAAAATTTTAAATAATTTATTCACATAAAAATTCAATGACAAAAATAAATTAAAAATCAACAATTATAAAAGATCATAAATGTACAAATTAAAAGGGATCTACAGATAAAACACAGTAATTTTCTAAAAGTCATTTTACGTGTTTCTTATACTATTTTATTTTTGTTGAAGCAACAAAATAAAATCATACGTAAATCATTGACTACATAAAAATAATAAAGTCTTGAAATTAATAACAAACACTAACTAAAAATGAATCATTCATAAACCGTGAAAAAATAATATATTAATAATTTAATTAAAACTTTGTAAATATGATATTATTTGATTTCTAGGTGATTGTTGATATGGGCTTCCGTCCTTATCGTTGATCAAGTGGGCCTCACACATAAAACCCATTTACGTGGACGTGTCATTCTAAAGCCCAATATCCAAAATCTCTCTAGAAATTGAGTAAAATGATTTTGTTGCCATTTAACTCTTTGATTTTCAGCCTATTTTTAGTTACACATTAATAATTTATAGGAAAATCGTACAGCTTTGAAGTTAAACCTAAAAAATCTGAAGAACAAAAATGTCGATTATATCGCCTTTCTGTGTGTGAGCTTCATCTTTTTTGGCTCGTGAAATCTGCCAGATGAGGTGCGTATCTTCCTTGATTTACATCTGCATTTTTTTTTTTTCTTTTTGAATTTCGCAGTTTAATTTACTGGTTGTGTTCATGAACATCGTTCGGTGATTTATTTTGGGAATATAGATATGTGTGTGTGTGTGTGTATGTGTGTGGGTTTTTGTGTGTGTTTGTGTGTGTGTGTGTGTATATGTGTGTGTGTGTGTGTGTTTGTGTGTGTGTGTGTGTGTGTGTGTGTGTGTGTGTGTATTGAGCACAATGGTGCTAAGTATGATTAACAGCCTCATCCTTTTTAAGCTTTGATGTTTGAGTTTCCCATTTATTAATCTATGGCTTTTGACCTGTACTCATGGTTCTCTATGCTGTGGTTAGGGTTCAGAGGAGGATTTTTTTTCTTCATATTTTTTCACGCAGTTGTTTTAATAATTTTCTTTTTCTTGTGTGATCGGAATTAGCGATTTGGTTGAAGGCTCGAATGCTTTATGGGTACTGGTTTTGTGTGTAATGATACATGGTTTGGTGTATGGAATTGAGCTATTAGAGTACTAGAATTTCGGCTGACAATGAATGAATGTGAAAGATCAAAAGGAGGCTAGTAAAAAGTCCTTTGGGATTTAGCTTAAATTTGAAGATATTGAAACTAATTATGACACCACCGATCGAAATATTTCTTGTTCCTGGTTTTGTATATAGTTTGTGCACTCCCTTTCTGATGTAAAAGTAGAGTCCCCTGCACGCTTTTTCTGTTAATGTGCATCTATTATGTTAGGAAGAACAAAAAAAAAATGAAAAAAAGAGAGACACGAGAGAGAGATACCGGTGTTGAAGTAGAGACTAGTTTGTATTCTGGGCATTGTTATTTTATTTTATTGGAAAAATTAGCAAGTGTTTCTTCCAAAAGAATATTTTTTTTTCCGCATGCACAGTACACTTCTGCAACTATATATTTCCTTTGTGATTGCTACTAAATATGTACTATTTGCTCACTGCTTATAGACTAGTTCTCGAATATTAGAAGAGTACCTCGGTGTTGGTGATTGCCATTTCAAGTCGAACGAACTATATTCCGAGTTTTGTAATCCCCCNNNCCCCCCCCCAATTAAACATAAAAGTAGCAGAAAGCACACTCGTGTTTGTGCTGCATTCTGGGGAATTGTTTTTTTATCTTATATTAACGTCCTATGAAGTTTTTTGTTTCCTTGATTTTTTTTTTATTTTATTTTTCAGCTGGAATAAGATCAGTCATTAATTTACTAAAAGAAATTCTACAAGCCATATGCACACTTCCATCTAGATTGCCATCTGTGTCATGTGGCACACACTAGTGGAAGAGCAAAACCAACACTTCATCCGCATACGCGAATTGCTCGGTGAAGATCAACCCAATGTATGTTTTAGCTTTTCTTTCAATGACTGACCAATTTTTCTAGAAATTCAAGTTGAATCTTTGTACCCACCAATTTTCCTGAAATGCATTTTGCTAATTTTTTCCAGATGGATATTGAAGCTGATGACCAGCAAGCCAAGCAAGAGCGCCTGAGAACGAGATGGACTCCCGATCTTGATAGGATTTTTGCAGACATAGTTGTGGAGCAAATTCGGCAAGGGAACAGGTCCAACAATGTATTTGACAAGAAAACTTGGAGCCAGATACGTGAGGCATTCAGTAGACAGACGAACCTTAATTTCAACAATAATCAATTGAGGAAGCATCTCGATGTTCTTCGGACACGGTATCACAACTTGCAGTCCTCCTTTAACCATAATAATGATGCGATTCAGGACAATTGCTTTATGGGATTTGATCTATGGGAAGACATTGGGGTATGTACGTATATTTATTCTATATCTTTTGGTTATATTTCAACTAGTTTCTCGTTGAAAATGCTATTTTAATATAAAAAAAAAATGTGGCACAATGTTTGACACGAAGTATGAATTATGTCAACCTTTATGTTAGTGTAGAATGAACCTACTTACTTACATCATTCGCGTAACCGTTTTTCTCATCAATACTTCAGGCAACATCTAAGATCGAGCCAGCAAAGACCAAGGACTGTCCAATTTACAGTCAATTGTGCATCATATTCGCAGACTCGGGGGTTGATGGAAAATATGCGCAATCAAGCCATTATGAGGAGCTGAACAAGTCTGGAGGTCTCTTCCCTTCATGCCTAGAAGGAGTTTCAAGCCCACAACTCCCCATGACCCCATCCACATCAAAATTACCAGAAGAGAACGGATTTTCACCCGGAAACAACATCAGCAAGAACACGGCTGGAAATAAGAAGCGAAAGTGCTCTTCAGAAGCCGGCCCGCCGCCCGAACAAACAAATTGGAATCAAGAATTAAGCGACTCGATGGCGGAAGCCCTTTCGTTTATGATAAAGAATTCCTCGAATTTGCGAAAATCGATGAATCCTATGGTCGACGAGAGATTTTCTATCAGCAGCTGCATGAAAGTGCTGGACGAGATCCAAGGTATCGAGGACGGACTTTATTACGCTGCTTTGGATCTTTTTGAAAATCCCAGTCACAGGGAGACGTTTGTTTCGCTCAAAAACAATGATGTTCGGCTAAAATGGTTGGAAGGAAAGTGCGGCAGCTTGCCACATGTATCGGGTCTGCACGAGTTTTAATCAGCAAGAACTTTTTTCGAGTCATGCGAAATGTAAAGAACTTGCTATTTACAATGTTTTGTGGGGGATCAAATGAAAAATAGGTAGTATATATAGTGGTTAGTGGAAGTTATATTTGCTGAGGTAGGCTTTTGAAATGTGGTTTCTTGTGATGTAAATAGCACATCCGTTTTTTGTGCTAAAGGTACTTGAAGGATGATATACTTTGGTTCTCAACACTTTTGGTTGTGCGAGCTTAATATAATTTTTCATGTTTTGCATTGAGGAACATAACGCAATAAATTCAGTTTGAAATGTCCCAAAACTACTCTGGTGGTGCCAAGTACTAACAGCCATGTAAAAGGGTGGGAAAATGAAACTATATCGTAATTTTCTGGACATCTGCTATATGTATTAATAAATAAGCACGCTGAAGACAAAACAAGAAGTCGATATGTCCGAGTGGTTAAGGAGACAGACTTGAAATCTGTTGGGCTTCGCCCGCGCAGGTTCGAACCCTGCTGTCGACGATTCCTTTTTCCTTTTTTTTTTTTTTT